GGACGGCAGCGTGCTGCGCGGTGCGTGTTGGGCAGAGCAGTGATGTTCCTGATTGCAGACCATGCGGCTCAGATAACAGATCGTGGAATGATCAGGGTTGGAAGGGACCTCTGGAGATCATCTAGTCTGGCAGGGTCACCTACAGCAAGTTGCACAGGAACACATCCGAGCAGGCTTTGAATGTCTCCAGAGAAGGAGACTCCGCAACCTCTCTGGGCAGCCTGTGCCAGTGCTCTGCCACCCTCAAAGTACAGAAATTTCTGTGTGGAAACACGTGTCCACGTGGGAGGAAGGCGCAGGGGTGGGAGGAGGCGGTGTGAGCCGAGGAGGGTGCGGTGCATGCAGTCTCCGCTCCCATTGCGCCAGCAGCGCCTGGGCTGGCTCCGTGCCCCGGCTGGGGCTGCCCGGGTGGCTGCTGCCTGTCCTTCGGGTGGGTGCGGGAAGCCGGAGGAGCAGGTTTCCAGCCTTCCCGACAAGGTGGTGATGGGCTTGGTGGGGTGGGTACCGCAGCCCTTTCTTAGCCAACTTCAGTCACCCTGCACTTGTAGCAGTGCGTCCTGTGACCTGACTTCCTTCCCGTAGAGAGCATTTTGTTGGACTTCACTAAATACCGAGGCTTTGCATGGTGCTCTGTCTCTGTTTTGAGGATAGTGAATACTTGAATAAACCAGGAAGGAGGAGTAGCTTAGATTGCAGAAATAATTTAATACTCTTCTGCTGACTCTTTAAACTGACAGCACGACGTGGTGCTCTGATGGCCAGTGAAATGGAACAACCATTCTCCTGAGAAAGCGAATCTGAATTATTTCCTCCATCACAGCAGGGCACCTCGCGTAGGGCCGGAGCGTACCATGACCTGTCAAAATGACGGAAAGCAGGAAGGCGTTCAGCTTGTTTTCACGCACGTGAAGTGAGGGGATGGGAAACGAAGAAAGAAGGCTGTGTGCTCTCGACAGCCTTGTTGCACTGTATTCAGTGAGACGTCATTCTACTTTTTCAGCAGATCCAAATATTTTTTTCTTTAACTTCTGGACCTAAGGCAAATATTCAATGAGACATCATTCTGCTTTTTCAGCAGATCCAAATATTTTTTCTTTAACTTCTGGACCTAAGGCAACAAATTTTTTGAGGATATATGGCTGTAGCACTCTCAGTTTTGGTGTTATCAGTCTGTTGCACGTGTGCATTGTTTTACTTATATAATTATAATCAGTTATATGATTACAAATGCCTGTAAGACCTTTGACACTGGCTCCCACAACATCCATGTCACTAAATTGCAGAGATACGGGTTTGATGAATGGACTGTTAGGTGGATAAGGAATTGGCTGGATGGCTGCACCCAAAGAGTTGCAGTTGACTGCTCAATGTCCAAACGGAGATCAGTAACAAGTGGTGTCCCTCAGGAGTCTGTACTGGGACCCGTAGCATTCAGTATCTTCACCAGTGACCTGCAGTGGGTTTCAGCGTGCCCTCAGCATTCACGAGAGGGAAGGGATGCCGTCCAGGGAGACCTTGATGGGCTTGAGGAGTGGGCCCATGCAACCTCATGAAGTTCAGCAAGGCCAAGTGCAAGGTCCTGTGCCTGCATCGGGGCAATCCCCAATATCTGTACAGACTGGGGGATGAATGGGTTGAGAGCAGCCCTGGGGAGAAGGACTTGGGGATACTGGTGGATGGAAAATTGGACATAAGATGGCAGTGTGTGTTTGTAGGCCAGAAAGCCAGCCATATCCTGGGCTACGTAAAAAGAAGCATGGCCAGCAGGTCGAGGGAGGGGATTCTCCCCCACTGCTCCACCCTGGTGAGACCCACACTTCAATGGCTAACAGGTGTTTTGCTTTCACAACAAGCAGTTCGATTTTATTGCATCCAGTGAGACCTCTGCTAGCTGTTCCTGTCTGCTTTTCTGGGCACGTGAACAATTTCCTTATACCTGTATCAAGCTACTTTTAATATTTTCCGTGTGGTGATGTGAACCAAAATGAAACCAAATTTTGCCGGCACCTGGGGTAATTGCAGTGTGGATCATCTCTTCCCGTTATACACCATAAACTGTACAAGAGGCTTCCTTACATCTGCTCTTAAGTATTCCTTCTCTCCTGCTCCAGCATGCTTTAAAGGTTTGGTGAAGTTGCTGCGCAGCGGTGAAGCATCTGAATCTTCTGTGAAAAGTGCGTGCGCTCGGAGGCAGGCAGTGTCCCTTGCTGGGGGACTGTACCCTTAGGAAGGGTAGAGCTGAGCTGAGGAAGTGGCAATATGTGACGGCAGAATGTTTTCAAACGCTGGCGTTTAATGAATATTCCTGTTTGGTGTTGGTCTGACAGCTATGTAGCTTTCTACACCCTTTACCTAAGTGCATGTTGATATGTTTGTGTATATATATATATATACACATTTTTAAGCATGGCTTGTAAAAGTAATTGGAGAATAAATGTGTCAGAAAAATTCATTAGAAAACTAATGTAATATCAGACACTGGCTAGAATCTGTGTATTTTAAGAAGTGACCTTAGTTACACGATCATTCTTGCCTCTGTTCAGCTAGTTGATGCTGTGTTACATTTAGGTATGTTTCTGTACAGGAGATTAAAATACGGCTCTGCAGCTATTCAACTCTGACTTCTTGTGAATAGTTTTAGTAGTATCAAACCTAATTAAAGTGGGCATGTAAGAAAACCCCTTATCTGTGTTCCCCCACAATTCCTATTTGGCAGAACACAGAGCGCAGTGGGCAGTTCAGCGCTCTTTCCCCGCTCTGTTAGGCGGCATTGGGCAGTTCCTAGCAGCAGTCAGGGCGGGAGCAGGTAAGTGACGGTGGAGGAGATCTGTGTCGGCTAATTCATGTCATGTGAGATGGGCCTTTGACGGCCTTCTTTCTGAGCAGCGATGTTGTAAAGCCAAGGTGATAGAAGTCCAACATTGTCTTTTTCTAGGTGCTTTTTAGAAAATATTTTTCTTCTCAAACTGTCTCCTCAAAGGGACACTGAAAGCAGTAGCTTTATTGATCTCCTGGCAGCCGGCAGATGAATATTACAGAGGAGATGCACGCACTTAGTTGCTGGCTGCCTGTGTTGTCTTCCCCTACCCTGTAACACTTTCCCACCTTAACTTTCTTAGGGTCCAAGAAGAAGTAAGATTAAAAGGGAGCATGGGAAAGGTTAATGTGATTCTGCTGTCATCTACCGCCATTCTTGTACAGGGTCCCTCCACCCTCAAAGAAAATGAGTATTAGATAACTATGATTTAGAGTAGCTCTCAGTTTTGCATTTTGCTTCTTTTTCTGAGGTAGAGAAAATGATTGATTCGTTTCAATGATATTACACCTTTTGATCTACTGGTCTGTGTAGAATAGCAGCAGCTCCTTGCATCGGGCTCAATTCCAAGTCCTTTTTTGATTTGTCTTTTTCTAAATCTGCGATCATTTGTCCCAATAGCTTCTTCCCGAAAAGCCCGTTTCTTCCTCCTTTAGATGCAGCCGGACCAAAGCGTTCTTTCTCAAATGACTCCCCAAACTTGCCGATTTTTTTTCTTTGCTCTCGTTATGTTAACGCATCTGCCCTAATATGAGTCCGGATGTGCTGATTTGGTTTCTCAGTACCACGCTGCTGATGCACAGAGCCATAGAGATGGGAAGAGAAAAAAAACAAACCCCAAACCAAAACCCAACAACCACTGAAGAACTGAAAGGTGCCTCCCTGATCACTGTCACAGTCCACTAGCTTTTATTTGCTGCCTTCAGTACCAAATAAGAATGAATTGGAAGAATGAAAGGACAAAGTACCTTTTTCAGGGAGGTTCTGCTTAAACACTGTTTTTATTACTGCTTTTGTTTCTTCTGCAGAGTGGGAAGCCCCCAGTTAAGGACATGTTCACAGATCTGAAAGACGGAAGGAAGCTTTTGGACCTTTTGGAGGGCCTGACAGGGAAACCTCTGGTAAGAGAGATATGTATGAGTCGTATTGCCATTTATTAAAAAAACCCCAAACCACGCACAAAAAAAGAAAGAAAAAAAACCCCAAAACCAAAACAAACCAACCCACAAAACTCAGCAGTTCTCAAGAAACAACCCAACACCCCCCCCCCCCCCCCCCCAAGAAGCCAAGTAAACAAAATACTGTTTAGCAAAACGTGTAAAACCAGTGGTGTTACTCACATAGTGTGTATTTTTAATGGAGATCTTTTAAAGGTCTGCTTCTGGATGATCTGGAAGAGCAGCCTTTAGCTGGATACCTGTGGACTTTCTCTAATAAGCTCATGAAAGATCCCTTAAAGAAAAAAAGAAAGAAAAGAGACAACAGCTAGTAGGCAGTGCAAAAATCTGCATCTCCATTGAAAAATCCTTTGTGATCTACAGATAGGAAAGGGCTGAAAACTACTCAAGTCTTGTTTGGGAGATTGTATGTGTGGCTGAAAACTCTTCCCTTGCTAACATTGATACCTCTTCAGAAAGATACATGAGACATGGTGAAACCTGTGCTATCGCTTGGGATTTAAATTCTTGATTTCACTATTTATGATAAATCTCAAATTTGTTTATTGACCTTATGAAAAACCTTCAGCCATTTAAAATTTCACCCTGCAAGCTTGTCTTGTTTTTTAAACTGATGCATTTCACTAGTACTTCTAATGATTTGTGGTCTGATTTGAAGCATGCTGAAGACAATAGGAGCTTTCTGGTTTCTGATTCTCTTGAGTACCATGTTCCAAGTTCAACTTCATGCTCTTGCAGTACGATCATGTTCTGCCACAGGAGTTAAATTGCAGTGATTAAAAGCAAATGGAGTGGCAGGTATTGTCAAAAGCTGCAGTGGTTTCTTTTTTCCCCCCAATACTAAAAGGAAGGGAAAGTCAGGAAGCGTAACTTTTTCCCAGTATGCAAAGATTTAGCAGGCTTTCCGTGCCAGAAAAACAAATTGCTGCTTGTTCCCTCTTGGGAGCCAAAAAATTTCAGCTACTCTGGCAAACGTTCAAAACCCTCAGATTTTCCCCGGGAACTCCCACTTTGCTGTTGTATTGCCAGCTTATAATTCTGCAGATGCTGGGAATAAAAGTTCTGGACTTGCTGAAGATGAACTGAAACACGTTTTGAATACAAGGCTTGTCCTATGTCTTGAATTGAGGAATAATGTTCTGACCAGTTTTCATTTTGAAATGTTGTAGATGTTCTTGTTTGGTTTTTGTTCCTACTTCAAAAAAAAAAAATCTGGAGAAAATTAAGACAAATTTCCTGTTTGCTCTATCATTTATTTTGTTTGGTCTGTCGAGTTAATTCTGATGTGAACAGATTGTAACTTTTTATTTTCAGCCTAAAGAACGAGGTTCCACACGAGTACATGCCTTAAATAACGTCAACCGAGTACTGCAGGTCTTGCATCAGAACAACGTGAGCATGTTTTCCCACAACTTTTTGATAGACTCTTTAACTTATTCCTGTGTGTAAATGAGTTCAAAATGCAGATAATAGTGTTGTGTGTTGTTTTTTTTTTTTTGTACCTAAAATGAGAATTCAGCAAATTGGGTTTTCCTATCACTTTTCCTTATCTGATATAGAATTTCAGTGTCTGGCAATAGTGAAATCTTGAAATGCTAACTTAATAATAGTATTGGGTAAACTATGTTTTGTTGAGATGTGTTCAGCTCCCAAAACAAAGGTGACTTTAAGTTCTGCTATGCACAGCTCATAAACCTGGCAGGACAAAAAACTTAATTTCCAGTGATGATGCATAACTTTTGCAAAAGTCTGTAAGCGTTACGACAGGTTTTGTGTGTCTGTGGCTTTTGTGTCCTGCTCTCAAAATCCAGGACGATCTTTCCATTGACATCTGTCAGCTCTGTGTCAAATCTGTACTGAGCGTTTTTAATTTGGAACTTTGGTAACTGCTGAGAAGAACAAACAAGCAAACAAACCCCAATCCTTCTTTAAGAAAAATGAGAATCATAATTGTTTTTATTTTGGTTTTATGTTTTTACTGCCTGGAAGCCAGTAGTGCTTTAGTAAAGAGATTTTATTTTTCCCCTGAAGAACGATTCTTGATAAGCATACTCTTCTATAGTTAGAATTTCTATTTGCGAATGTCAGGGCACTAAAATAACTTTATAAGAATGCTCTGGCAATAAAATACATCTAATGCAAAAAGGCACTGACATATTTATGTAAACTGCTGATTGAAGAGTGATACGAACATGCTGTGTAATACTGCAATTTCCCCTCCGTGTTGGTGGACTAGTGTCGTATTGCTAGGAAGCAGCCAAAGTTTGTGGTGGGTGGTTTGGTTTTTTCCTTCTTTGAGATACTGTAAATAATTGATTAACTTTTTTCTAAGGATAAGTAATGTGTCTTTCCAACTTGAAATTGATTTATTTTATGAAGATAATAAATGAAATAATATTGAATTACAATAATTAATATAGTTCTTCCTTAAGCTGGCAGGATCTGGGTTTCTAGAAGTAAACAGATGGTGTTAGTTAGCTGAAGGTTGTTAAGGTCATGTACGTGATTTATACCTACTGCTTAACTTCGTTAGAAAGTGTGTGTGTGTGTTAAGATGAAGGGAAAAGGCATCTACTGAGAAGCAGTTGTGTTCTGTTGCCTGACGGGTTGTGGGGTATACAATATTAATAACTTGTGAAATAATTTAGAAAAGTGTTTAAATACGTATTACAAGGACAAGCCTGGGGTGTAGATGTTCAAGTGATCCTGTGAACCTCGTCCATCTGAGTGGAATGGTTCTAAGTAATGAATTCCAACTCTTTTGATTTGTGGACCAAGTTTTTAAAAATAATAATAAAAAAAATCCACTGGAAATTATTCCATATAGCCAATATCATTCTACTGACAGTAGTACTGACTATCTGCCGTCAGCTTGCTTTTATTGATTAGCTTTGCTTAAGTCTGTCGTCCACGCCCCATCCTAGTGGATTGCTGGCTGCATCCTGCAAAGCGTTGGTTTAGTTCAGCATCATTAAAATACGAAAAATGGACTTGTGGAGTAGTTCCTTTTATGCCTGATGCAGATAGCAAGAGGAATACATTATTATCAGTGCTGTTATTATTATTGATGTGTGATTAAAAAAAGTGAAGTGTGTTTTATTACCCATTCTCAGGAGTGTTTTTCTTCTATTACAGGTGAAAAAAGCTCTTGCAATGTAATTGATTTATTTTTGTGCCCTTGTCCATTAGTCTTGCTTTTTGTTCCTTGTGTTCTAGAGTGCTTTCCAGTGTGGTGTTTAGTGATCCACACTGGTAATTCTTTCGGGTTGTTTTTGGCTGTTTAGTTTACAGTTATCTTAAAATACATGCCCAGTATTTCCAAAGAGTATTGCTGTAAGATTCTGTTCCAGCTGCTGTAAAAACTGGGAGAGGACAATCCACAAATGCGCAAACTTCCTTAGTACTTCGAAGTGTAATTTGTGGTGCCATGTTAATCTTGCAACACAGTCTTGAATTGGTTCTCCTAACCAAGAGACCTATGGGGAACTGAAAATTGTCAAGATGATATCTGAAAGCAATGAGGTTATAAGTGCATTTTGCAGAATGGAAGCTATTTGTGATTGTGTGATAAGAGGAAAAATATTCATGGAATAGCATTATATTCTTATATATCAGCAATATCCTCTGAAACAAAATGAAACTTTGTTCTTGTCTATTCTGTCATTGTAGACTACGTCCACTGAGAGCCAGAGCATGGGCTCCATTACTGTCCTGTGACTGTCTGTATTGTTTAATTGCTAGCCAGCTCCTCGGTACAGGTTTTTGTCTCTATGACCAGTTCTGAGCCCAAGCGATGCCCAGCTACAGTTCTTAAAGTTAGTGTAAGCTGGGAGGTGTTTCTGGTAGGCACTGTGGATAGGGGTGAGAAAGGGAGAGAAGAAAAAAAGCTTCCCCATCGAGGTGAAATGCAGTGTGCTGCTTGCCCCGGGGGCTGGAGGATGCTCCTGGCTCAGGTCATTTGCAAGGATGAAGCCCCACCGTCTGCCCTGTGTGGGAGTGCGTTGCAGCATCTGCTGTATGTGTACATACGCCCAGGGAGGTATCTGCTGCATCTGCTGTATGTGTACATACGCCCAGGGAGGTGTCTGCCGCATCTGCCACCAGCAGCTGTTCCTAGCCCGAATTCCGTCGGCATGGCGGTGACTAATGCAGTGTGCTGCTGTTGGTTCCCCCCAAAAGGTGATTCAGAGTTAGTGCCGCTTTCTCTGCGTTGACCGACTGGAGACTGGATGCTTCAGCTTAGCTCAGCCTCTAAAGCAGCACCGCCTGAGTCTCCGGTCGTGTCCTCTCAGCTTGGCTGCCTCTGAGGGCTGAGTACTTGATGCAGGAGTGGGTAGCTGCTCCTGCCCCCTCCCTTACTCAAGTAATTTCCTTGTCTCTCTTTCCATACTTTCACCTTTTTAATGATCTCAATTAGCCCATCACCAAGCCTATGTGGGGTCCTATGCATATAGGAAACTTCAAAATTTTATTTTTCCCTTGAGCTTTTGGTCATCTTGCATAAACTTGTCCCATTTGGATACTGGTTCATGCAAAGGACAAATCTATTCTTAGAGTTTTCACGGTTCTGTAATATCTCTTAGTGTGTCTAGGAGCAGGACTGCTTAACTTCTTTTTTTTTTTTTTTTTTAAAATATCAGATCCTTCACATTTGCATTTCTGTTAGTCAGTTTTGACTGCTGGTATGCGTCTGTATATTAGAGGAGAGGATAAAACTCTTCCAATGGAGTATCTTCCTTGGTGCCATCTTTTGTCGTGTTGTTTCTGCATTTGTCGTGGCAACTGCTTATCGACAGTACTCTGTCATCTCCGGTTCTCTTTCTAACTACTTTTTATTTCAGAGCACTTGACGATACGTGACTGGACAGCCGTGAATATGGGGTGGGGTTGTGACTTGAAGCTGTGATAACAATGTTTAATATAGAGTTGATCTGACGTCTCCAGGTGGAGTTGGTGAATATTGGAGGAACTGACATTGTTGATGGAAATCACAAGCTGACGCTGGGGCTGCTGTGGAGCATTATCTTGCACTGGCAGGTGAGAGGCTGCTGTGAGATTGCTTCCTTTCCAGGAATCGTGTGCATCGATCTGCTGGGATTCTCACAAACCTTCCCAGGGTTTTGGTGGCGGAAAAATACCGCATCTATTTTGGGCTGGTAAATAAGGGCAGGCCAGTGTTTGGTTTCTGATCTCTGTCTATTGGCTGCCTCCCACAATACGTATCCTCGTATGTACTCAGTTGTATTCAGCCTCTCGGTTTAGTTCCTGCTGGTGTTAATTGCAGAGAGGCTTTTCAGGCTGAATCATTGGACTTCTATTCCTTCCTCAAGGCTTTTACGCACTTCTGTTAGCAGATTTTTTTTACTATCTAGGTAGCTGTGTTGGACTTGCATTTTATATGCTGCTCTGTAGCTTTGTTTCTCAGTCTCACAGATTGAATTTCTCCTGGTTTATCCAGGTACCTGGGAGGATCGTTGAATTCACTTGGAGGGACTTTGGCAGATGCTTGTGCATAGTACCCAAGCAGCAAACTACTTTTGTCGGCTGGGCAGATGTCCTCTTCTTGCAGAAAACCTGTGCAAGCTGTATTTTTGGGGTCCGCTTACTGGTGGAACTGCAACGCAAGGCAGTGAGAAATATTATACCCCATGCTTACTGTAGGCAGCACTGAGAGGGGAAGGATCGTAATGTAAGAGTAATGTGCTGTTATTACATGAAATGTTACTGGTTCTTGTAACCAGAAGGGTGTAAAGATAGCCTGAAGACTCCTATTCCCAAATTTCATGTGAGCAGTTAGTTTGATTCATAGCTCTTCATGAGACAGACCCTTTCATCATTTCTGAAATAGCTTGGTTGAAAGGTTTTACAAGCAGGAAAAGTGGAGAACATATCTGTAAGGTGTAGTTGCTGCTGTCTTGCAGGTGAAGGATGTCATGAAGAACATCATGTCAGATTTGCAGCAGACCAACAGTGAGAAGATCCTGCTGAGCTGGGTTCGGCAGTCCACGAGACCTTACAGTCAGGTCAATGTTCTGAACTTCACCACAAGCTGGGCTGATGGACTCGCCTTTAACGCTGTCATCCACAGACACAAGTAAGTAGCAAAGGGCTTTGTCTTAGACCTAGTGAAGTAAGCAGCTGCATTTCCCATGTCTTCACGCTTGAGCATTTGACAGCATCTAGCCTGTTTCTGTGATTCATTGTTGTTTGGGGTTGTTTTTGTTGTTGTGGTAACAATAACAGTGGAGGGATATTGCCAGAGCCTTGCAAGGGTTGGATCCAAGGCAGCAGTGTAACACCCTCAGTTTCTGCGCATACATGCACACTTGCTAATTGAAGTGGATTTACATCCCACTTAGTATGCATTATGCAGCGAATAAGCTGACCGGATCTCTGCGAGGGGGTTGACCACCTCCTTCCCCTGTACTTCCTTCCCCCTGCCCTCCCTCCTCTGCCAAGGGAAACATTTCTTCAGTCGGAGTTTGCCATATCATTTTAGAAGGAAAATATAGAAGCTTCAAAACGAAGGATTAAGACAGACTCTGTAGCTTTTCTTATTTTTTGAATATATCTTGCTTGAATGACAATGTATGCAGTTCTTTCAGGAGAACTGTTGAGCAGAAGAATCAAAGGGTAATGGAATACTTCAGGTGTCTGTAGAGTATTCATTAGTTTGTTCATTATACTTTATAAAGAATGGTGCTAAAGCTTCCTTGCATAGATCTTTTGTGTTCTTTCTGATTTTTGGAGAACTCTTTAATAGTTTGAAGAAATCATCATTACAGACTCCTATGAAATTTGCATACTGTTTTTTGTTACTTTCTTTTTAATCTGCTTCTGGGCAATCCATTCTAATCCAGTGTACCTTAAATGAAGTCAGCTCATTGCTTTGCAAGAGCTGACTGTTCTTAACCATAAACAACTGTTTTAACATGGTAATGGTATGATAATTGCTAGAATTTAACCAGACCTCCTGGCCACCAGGTATCTGGCATAGCAAACACCCGGAATATTTATACCCAGCAGATAGAAAGCGTTGCCAAAAGTGAATGTTCACTTTGAGCCTGCTGTTCTTTGCTCTTCAGTGCCCGTTGGGGCTGTGCTGCTGTCACCGGCTGTGTCAGAGTCTGGCCCTGGCACACGTCCCTGCCGAGCAGACCAGAGCTGGGCTGTGTTCGGGGTGCGTGGGGAGCGCCTGCACCACAGGGAGAGCTCGGGAGGACTGCTCTGCAAAGGCAGAGCAATACTGGCAAGGGTCTCTGGTGTTTATCAGAAGTGTTACCAAGTCCCTTCTCTGGGTGGTGTGGGCTGTACTGGTGGTTTTCATACCGGCATAATTGCCTGTAGTGGTGTAGCTGTGCTGCTGGACGCATGAAGCTGTGTGATGGAGAGAGTGCCAGCTTTAGACACGAGTGAGACCTAGGTGACCTGAGGGAAGCAGGAGGAGAGAGGTAGCAAAATTGACTTCAGGCTGTTTGTCCTTACGTGTTGTGACTGCGTACTTGGGCTTTGCAGGATCTGAAGTCTGTGAGCTCTGCCCTTTTCACAGTGCTGTTAAGTAGCAAAAGCACCTGTGCTTTCCTCGGGCTGCCTAAAATTTCTCAGTGACCTGGCTCTGCTGATCTCTGAACCTTTTCTTCCCTCTTCCTGGGAGCCTGGCAGCTGCCAGTGCATCAGAATTCAGCTTTGCTGTCCCTGGGCACCAGTCCTTTAGCCAGGGAGGCACCCATCTTCCCCACACTTCTGAGAAATCTTGAGCTGGGTTTAAATGTCAGTTGGTTTTGAAAGAGAAGCTTTAAAAGGCACTTGCAGGAAACAATGGGATTGGGGCAGGTTGCAGAAGTGGTAGGAGAGCAAAGCCATTTGGCTTAGCCAGACGGTAGTGCTTCCCTACCTAAGGGACATTTTCAATATTGTTTTTGTAATTTAGCTTAATATGACACTTAATATGGGAAAATCTTTGTGGATCCCATTAAAAGGTTTAGTTGACTCACTTTTCTCTTTAGGTATCTATCAGCAATTGTTAGCAGTGCTACCTCTTGGCTATAATATCTTTGTAACACTTGCGGTACTTAATAGAATTATATGAGGTAATAGGACATTTAACATTTTACTGTGCTGGTCTCTTTCATTTCCTAATATTAGCTTAGTTCCTCTTTGAATTGAATTCTGTTCTTTGGTACAATTTTCTTGCTCATAGGTAAATACCTAGATTTCATTTTATTAAAATTCGTGTTATCACAGCCATTTGCAGGTAGTGCATATACAATATACTTATTGCAATGTATTTTTCAAAGTAAGTCTCTGCTAAAGCTTTAGGTGAACCTATGCAGTTATCCTTGTTGCCTTTTGCATGGAGATACAGTATTCCGCTGGCTCCTATCAGGATCTTGGCATATCCCTGTCCCCTGCTCACCCCACCTGCCTCCGGCTTTTTGCTTCTCAGACCCTGCTGGCTTATGACCTTCCTGTTTCATGAAGTGTAATGGCTCGACAGACGTTAAAGAAGTACTCTAAGGTCAATTTACAACTGAATTAAGTATTAAAAGAATTAAAGGCAAGCCCATCTCCTCCTCCCCACGTTCTGTAAAGCCCAGAATCCATAGGAGTGTGGCGATGAGAAGCCGCTGTCCTGGGGGCACGGTCGGTGTGTTGCTGGCGCTCTGGCCTTGCGACCGTGCTGGTGCAGCACCAGGCTGGCCGTGGCCTCTCGGGGTGGGTCCCGCTGGGGAGGGGGGCCCTGTTTGCCGACCCTGCTTCCTGCTCCGTGCTCTGCTCCTTCCCCCTGAGACCTCCCGGTATGTTTTGGGTGCACAGCTGGGCTGAAGATATGGGTTGGTTAATGCTGATGTGGGATGAAGGCTGCTGGCACTGTAGATCGGTCAGCTCCTTGGTCTGACTCGCATCGTGACTCTCATGGGTACTTGTGATGGGCTGGGGTTTTGGTAGGCTTTTTTTTTTTTTTTAATGGGAGGGGAAAAAGGCCCCTGGGACAGGGGTGGAGATGGCTGCTGCTCCTGGCGGTGGTGGTCTGGGGTGGTCACTGAGCCACCTCGCAGGTTTGGAATGAGGCTCTCCGGGAACAGAGGGACTCTGGGTTACCCAGCAGAGCCTGACGCAGGAAGCATGGAGTGACAGTAATGCTGGGAAAGAAACAGTTGAAGAAAACTGGATCTGCAATAAACTTTAAACACAGAGTTTATTTGTTTTCTTCTTAGTAGTATTTAATCTCCTGTTACAATCAATGAGTATATCTATAGGATGCATAGGATAGAAGGTGGCTGGTGCTGTGGGCATGCAGTCGGTTAATTGATTTGCGATTGCCAGGTTCTCACCGATAAAAAGCACGTTTGTATTTATGCATTTGTGTGTATGCACTTACATTTTGTATGTATGTGTATGTCTATATTACTTCGGTAGCTACCTTCATATCTGTAACTTCATAGTCTACATGGTATGGATTTTTTTCTTCAGATAAAATTTACTGCTTTCTTTCCTGTTTTGTCTTTATTTCTAGACCTGAGCTTTTCAACTGGGATAAAGTTATAAAGATGTCCCCAGCTGAGAGACTGGAACATGCTTTCAGCATAGCCAAGAACCACTTAGGAATCGAGAAACTGTTGGATCCTGAAGGTGGGATGTAGTTGTTTTACGCAACTAGAAGGTTTTTTGAGCTCTCTTGAAATAAATTTCTTCTATTGACACCTTCTATGAATACAAATTCCAGCAGTTTTGTGCCAGTGGTATTTTGTTTCAAGCCCTTAAATTTGGGTTTAAAAGAATGTAATTTGTAGGGTAAGGATATGTCTGTGCGTGTGTATGCTTCAGCTTCTTGAATGTTAAGGTTCAGATTGGCTTACCGTTCAGAGACTATACAAACAGTGAAGTTCATACCCTGGCTTTGTTTTATTTTAAGTGGGAGTTGTACCACAAGGGTGTGTGCCTTTCAGATGAAGTACAGCATTATGTAGAATGGGATAGCTTAACAGCTCATGGTCTTTTGTTCTTTATATATACACTGAGAAGCAGTAGCTGCCAGTACTGTGAGTACTTACTGTGTAGGAATGCTTACCAGGAAACTTTTATGGCTCCTTTTTAAAATCCTGAGCTGTTGCCTCCGAAGATTCTTTCTGCAAGACAAACTCTCAAACTTCATAGAGTCAAGCACCACCTTCTTGGGGGACGGGGGGAAGTGTTAACTGAATTGGTAGCACTCAAAAACCGAGAGATAAGTGAACCTGAGTCGGTAAAACTCTTTTCCATATGAGAAGTAAGAAAATGAACTGACCAATTCTGGGACTGCTGATAGAGCCTAAGTGGAAATGTTTGTTTATGCAGGATACTGTCGCTGAAGTGCATTTCTGCTTGGAAGATGCTCCAGAATAATTTTCCCCAAACAGTTTTTATTCCTTAGTAACTTCAGGTTTGGGCTCTTACTTCAAAAAGATCATGCCTTTTAATGTGAATTCACTTCCAAATGTAGAAAATCTATTTTTTTTAAAAAACTTTTTTTTTCCTTCATACTGCTTTCAACATGTGTCAAATCTGACCTTTTAACTTAAAGCTTAAAGGCTACTTAACAGGAGAACCTGTGATTTGCACTATTTGTAAAGTCTTAACTGTATTGTAAGTAATAATTTAGAAAAGCAGCTTCTTAATTTATTTTTTTCCCCGTATTTTATCTTTTTGATGCAGATGTGGCTGTACAGCTTCCAGACAAAAAGTCCATTATTATGTATTTAACCTCTTTGTTTGAGGTCCTTCCTAAGCAAGTCACTATGGAAGACATCCGGGAGGTAGAG